CGGACTTTTCTCCTACAACATCAGTGTACTGAAATCGATTAGTTAGGTAGCTCTTGATCAGATCGTTTGCCACGCCACGGATGCCATACCTTTCTAGTTTGGTAAGTAATGTTGAGTGATCTATAGTATCGAAAGCTTTGCTGAGGTCGATGAATATGCCTAACACATGGTGCTTCAATTTGATGTGCTTAGATATGAGGTCAACAGAGTAGTTTACTGCATGGGAGGTTGAGTGCGATTGCCTGAAACCAAACTGAGTCTTAGATATTATTCCCTGAGAGCTGACAAACGAATAAATCCTAGAATATATGATTTTCTCAAATATTTTGCCAAATATGGACAAGGTGGATATAGGACGGTAGTTTTCTATTTCTTCTGGATTACCTTTTTTGAAGACAGGTGTGATTCTGCCAGTCTTAAGTATATCAGGGAATATACCATTTGACATAAGCTTGTTTAAGTATCTACTGATAATTGGTGCAATAACGTGGGACGAAGTTTTAATAACGGTTATGGGAATATCACTGGCCTTTCCATTCTCGAATTCTTTGATTATTCTAAGAACCTCCTCAGGAGTGCTGTCCTCTAACATAATAGATCGAGAGTTACTAGGGCTAAGGAAGTCATGGAATGTTTTCATGGGGAGAATTGGAATACCAGAAGACAAGTCAGTTGTGATAGTTTCATTGAGCTTGGGAGCAATTGATACGAACCAGGAATTAAAACCATTGGCAATTGCTCTCCGGTTCGAGATTCTTTCATTATTGATGATGAAAGGTGGTTTGGTTGTTTTCTTTCTTTTGCCCCTAAGCTCATTTATTATCTGCCAAGTTTTCTTACTGCTTTCAATGTTTTTATAGATTTCGTTACAGTAATAGGAGCGTTTGGCTGCCTTTATGATACCCTTAAGCATCCTACGATAGTCACTAAATATCTTATAAAGAAGGACATTGCCAGATGGATCTTTATTTGTTACTGTATCTGACCATTCTTTACAAAGCTCATGTTTTCTGTCAATTGAGAGGATGATTCCATCTGTAATCCAAGGATTAAGCTTTGGTGTTCTTTTGGTCGTTTTCGGTACTTCTAATTTACAGTGCTTGTCAAGGGTGGATTTGAAGCAATCGACAAATTCGCAAAAATCTGAAGATTGGGACAGCTGATTCACCTTCACCTCAAGGTCAGAAACAAAATTTTTAAGCTTGGTACTTGAGTAGTCGTAGTAGCGGACATGTTTTTCATTGTTCTTATTTCTTGGGGCCGGGGTTGAGGTGAAGGAGAATATGAACGTGTGTTCACTTAATCTATCCTGAAGTACACCAGAGAGCAAAACATTATCAATATCACTAACTAGGATGTTATCTATACACGAGTTTTTACAATTAGGCCGGAAGTGGGTAGCAATTGAGATGGATGGATACAAACCATTACTAATTATAGTGTCTTCAAATAACTGGTTGTGTGACGAAACTTTGAAGAGGTCTGAGTTAAAGTCGCCAAGCAAACGAAAGGGCTTGCCGGATATCTGCTTAGCAATGGTTTGTAAAATTTCACAAAAAGCCTCAAGGCAGCCACTAGGGGGACGGTATACAACTCCGTAGACAACCCCAACACCAGTGCTATCAGTGATTTCGGCGAATAAGCATTCAATGTTTACAGTACAGTAGGATAACCTTTCTAGGACAACAGTGTTAAGGTTGTCTGAGACATAAAGCGCAACCCCAGTGCCCTTTTTCTTATCTGGGAGGGTATTTTGATAAAAACTGGTGTAAGATGGGATCTGGTATAATTCTTGTAAGCTACTACCAACGTTGGTTTCAGCAAGTCCAAGAACATCAAATGGATGAGATAATCGTTTGAGTTCAACTTGGAATGTATCGAAATTACTGGCATTGCCATCAATGTTGAGGAACAGTGCTGAGAGGAAGGACCCATCACCACTGCTGATTTTTTTAGCTACTTCTGTGAATTCACGTTTGGAATAACGTTTACAGCTCTCGAGGGTATGACAAAATTTTTGGATGAGGGTGTCTTCTGCACCCTCATTGTAGGGCCTGTCCGACTTTTCGAGATCGTTTTGATTGTCAAAGGGGCAGTACCTGTCCTCTGTGATAAGTGCACATTCTGGGCACATCCATAGGCCATTCTTGCACTTAAAACTAGCAGATTTAAAACATCTAGTATGGATAACTTTGGTGCAGTTTTCACATTCAAGCATAGGTTGCCCAATATTAATCGACTTACTGCACGGATAGCACACCTCCTTATTGATTTTCAAGTTCATTTTGATCAAGTGGGATCATATCCCACTGTCTGACCAGGTTTCCTCTGTCTAGTTCTCTCAAGTTTCTCACGCACATACACCCAATGTTTAACACATCTCACAAACTTAGATAGACCGCGGTTGCCAAGATGTAACATACAAATTCTAAATTTTGACGGCTGACGATGGTAAGTCGCTACGTTTAACTCGGGACTTTTATAGTCTTAAGTCTTGGAGCTCAAAATGTCTCGTGCTGTGGGCCGTATAAACGGCACACACCACCGCCCTGCCTTACTGCTTACATTACTTCATGGTTGCAGGGCGGAGCCGGTGCCGTTTGTCTCGGCCTCGAGTGGCGAGTGCTTGCCCATCGAATACACGATTGAAACACTAATTATTTACTGGCATTCTACAGTTTCGAAGGTATATTAACTTTGAGCTTTGTTTTGGCGACTGCTTCATCGATGGGCGAGTAGGTATTTGTTGTTTAGCAGTGTTGAATATTGGAGCAATTATATAATGTATATCTCCATCATAATATAGGCTAGTGTAAACATATATAATCAATAATACAAACAAATAGTATTATATTATTGGTAACTCGCTAGATTATAAATGTTATTTAAACACATATGTTTACGTCAATTATTACTAAAATTAATATTCTTTTTGCTTTAATATAATTACATGTCACACAATTGATTAGTTGAATGAAACGTGTGCTACAAATGTCTACGCCTCACGCAGAACTGCGTACCGCTTAGTACTTCATGCTTGAGCGGTACTGCTGTTCACAGAGGCGCGCACTCAATTTAATCACAAATAACGAGCGCGCGGTTTTTGGAATTTCTCTATTAATATTATTCGATCTATTAATTAGATCGCAGTGCTCACGGCCTGTACTGCGTGAACAACAGAAATATGTTTTAAATTATTTTGCTTCTGAAATTTTGGCTCTAGTAATTAAGAAATGCGACATGTAATTGTAAGATAACAATTAAATAGATCCTGTGCGCGGCGCCTACAGCTGACCTACGAATTTCTGAACAATTGAAAATTGTGGCTGTGTGCGCGGCGTACTGTATATGTGTTTGAAATTGAAATTTGAATTTATTTATGAATATAACATTATGTATTGATTGTTTTGTGGTAAATAAAAATTTTTCTTTCCTAAAAAAAATTTTTCTTTCCTAATAAAACCAATCCTGCTTTATGGCTGTCAAGTCTCATGCCCCCACTCAAAAACCATGAGATACCTTTCAAAAATAGATGACAAAGCCAGCCCCCAGCATACCCTGAAGTACATCGCACAAGACCACTTTGAAAAATTCCACCTAAAGTTTATCAAGTGGTCTTTGTCCATCCATTCAAAAGCATCTAATATAGGTTGCTGGGGCGAAAGCGGGTGCCACCCACTTTTCTTTGGAGCCTGCAAACTTGCAATTGATTACTATAGCGGCCTTGAAAGCACTGAAAACGAACTACTCTGTGCTGCATTTCACGAACAGATCATGGTGGGCCTTCCTTGGTATCGTACAGAGGCGGCTATTGAGGGCGTCCAGGCGTCCGTGGCCGCCCTAAAATTATTATCTGGTGGCTGGTGCTTAAAATAGAAATAGTAATTAGTAATAGTGTTAGGAAATAACAAATCGCAATATAAAGCTCTTTATTCACTATCATACGTTTTAATGTAAGCGCACGCATGATCTTCGCGAAATTTTGTGTTGTAGGGAGTCCAACCCTACCATTGGACTACTCAGCCGCGCAGTTTTAACACATAGTTAATTGTAAACGTTACAAAGCACATTGTGCGCATCCCACTACAGGTAATCTATTATGATTTGCCTCGATTTGAGGGTCCAGGACCCTTTGCAGTTTGAACTATTGACTGCTATGATACTGCGCGGCTAAGATCGTACACGTGTGGTGTCCTGTTTCAACCATGTTATAAGTCTTTGTTTTTGTTTGCTGTCGCCTGTAAAGTGTTACACATTACATATATCAAGGCCCAGTGTGTAATGTAATCGGTAGTTTGGAGGGATCAGCATGAGCCGGCTCCCAAGCCCCCTCCCCCCCCCCCCCCCCCCCCCCCCCCCGGCCCCCCCCCCCCCAGTCCATCGATTGGACCCCCAACAAAACTGCCAACCAGCTTCCACGAGCCGCTTCTGGTATCGTACCAGATTGAAAATCAGTCTTTTTCGTAAGCGTATGAATGTGAATTTTTCTCTCTTGTGACCTCGGGTTTGGGTCATGTAGCATACCTCAGATACAATACGAGCCACGAGGTGCACATACTGCTTGATTAAGGGTACTCAGATACATTGGTTGATTTCCCATGCTGCCCAGTGCCCCTCCCATGCTGCCCCCTTCAATATAAAAATTAAATGGGAGGACCCCCAACCCATGTAGCTGATACACTTCACAGCAAGTAGACCAAAGCGGCTCTTGCTTGTAAAAGGTTCATCTACCTAAGCTAATCGGTAGGTTGGGAGCTGGAGTCCCCTAAGGGATCATTTCATCTGTAAAATTTTATAAAATATTTATAATAAATTATCTGGAAAATTTACATGAGCAAATCTAAGAGATTTCAAAGCTCGTCTTCTGGCAGATAAGGTTGAAGGTTATGTCTTGCAGTCCAGGATACTGGGCTGTTGATCTTCCGCGTCTGTCCTACAAATTTCTCTCCCCCAAGATTATATTTTAGTTATGCACTTTGAATTATTTCTAATATTTTTATAGCTCACGTAGACTGACCAGAGTCCGGAGTTCTCCCAAAATGCCAACTTCACATGTAAGTACATTCTTACATAGCCTACTTGGTTAGCTTAGGTTAAAAAGTAATTTTTCTTGTTAAATTATTTGTTACATTGAAAACAATTTAAAGGACCGTTTTACTGCGATAAGACTTAAAATAGTAAAATGTTTCTGACTGAATGGAATATAACCTCAGCAACTGTTTTACGAACCGATAAGTGGACATGCTTTCAATGGAGATCTGAGTCAGATAGTTGTCAGTAACTCGTCACCTCTTACTCATGTTATGAAGAAAGGTGCTGATGGAAAGTAAGCTCATTATATTAATTATCTTCAGAATATCTTGATTCATGATACACAACTTCGATGCTTCTTAAGGATTTGAAAAGTTTCTATTGATTCTTTTATCTTAGTGTGTATGCTTTGTTGCAGGTACGCTGAAGGCCACGTACTTGACCAGCATCTAGAGCGAGTAACTAGTGTTGACTGGGCCCCCAAAAGTAACCGAATTGTAACTTGTGCTGGAGATCGGAACGCTTATGTCTGGAATTTTCAGGAGGAAACAGGTTTTTAACAATTTTCTAGGTTTTTCTGCTTTTTGTGATTTTAATTCTAAATTACACAATCTGTTATGATATTAAACACTTATTTGTATGATTCATTAACATTTGACAACCACAATCATAAACATTATCTCATTCGATACAAAGGAGAGTAGATTTTTTGAAAATGAAAACCCCTAGATTAACAAATAACAAACATAAATTGCAAACCACGATTCTATGGCCATGATTTTGTATGGCCCTGTCTATAAATCCCACTAAATGCCTCTCATCAGAGTTCATTACAGTCCACATTTAGTGTAGCAACTGTATCCATAAGTACTCCAATGAATGGTCAGGTCCCAGTCTTCAGAGAGCCAGGTCACAGTCGACACACTGCTTATGATAACATCAAATCCATCCTGCTCCACATTAGACACAGCAACCCTGGTGACCTGTCCATCTAGCGTTACCATGACAACAGGTACTGATAAGAACCCACACCCGCTAGTATCTATACGTTTGTAGAAGTACTGCTTGCCAGCCCCGTTATTCTCAGATACCTTTATAACAGAAAGAGAATTTGTTAAATTGTCAACATAATTGGGAGTTGTATTATAAGATGAAATACCAGTAGTTGTTGACCGAATGGCAGTTTACAGTCAAGAAATAACCATAAAAGTATTGCAAATATAAAAACGGGCAATTGTTGCAAAGAAACCAAGTTTTACTAATAAGTTGTGTCCTCTGTTGTAAAGTTCATTTACTGATAAGGTTTATATAACTGGCGAATAATTTAATATACCCGTGAGACATGAATCTAAACAAATTCACCTATCATATAAGAAGGTTTGATAAACTTAGCTGGAACTTGACCCTCGCGATTCATTTTTATAGATAAAGCTATCTTATTTTGATTAAATATGAATTGTTTAAACTTTCAACGGGCAATATTGAATAACGATATGAAAGGTTATTAAAAATGATATATCTAGATCTAGTTCTACCGTCTAATTGTGCAAGTCTGATCAGAATTAGAACTAACATATTTATTCCAGGGTTCAGGAATGTCAGGTTATGTTGGAATGCAATGTTGTAACAATGTAATGTTTATGTCAATAATAATAAAGAAAGACTGATTAAATCCTGTCTAAACCCACTTAGAGCACTTCACAGTTCACACTTTACAGTCCACACTTAGTAAAGCAAGTGTAACCGTAAGCGCTCCAATTTATAGTGACGTCCCACTCGCTGTAGAGCCAAGTCCAGTCTGCATCAATGCGCACCAAGATAGCGTTAAATCCATCCCGATCCACATTAGACACAGCAACCCTGGTGACCTGTCCATCTAGCGTTACCGTGACAACAGGTACTGATAAGAACCCACACCCGCTAGTATCTATACGTTTGTAGAAGTACTGCTTGCCAGCCCCGTTATTGTACTCCTGGTAGTCAGAACTAAAGTGAGTGGAGCCCACACATGTGATGGAACAGGCGTAGTTATCTGAGCGGGGTTCTGGTGTGGATATTATCTTCAGACGGTTTTGTAGGGTAGTGCTTGTTAGTGTCAGCAGCAGGAATAGCTTTGTAACAGATATCATCTCAGATACCTTTATAACAGAAAGAGAATTTGTTAAATTGTCAACATAATTGGGAGTTGTATTATAAGATGAAATACCAGTAGTTGTTGACCGAATGGCAGTTTACAGTCAAGAAATAACCATAAAAGTATTGCAAATATAAAAACGGGCAATTGTTGCAAAGAAACCAAGTTTTACTAATAAGTTGTGTCCTCTGTTGTAAAGTTCATTTACTGATAAGGTTTATATAACTGGCGAATAATTTAATATACCCGTGAGACATGAATCTAAACAAATTCACCTATCATATAAGAAGGTTTGATAAACTTAGCTGGAACTTGACCCTCGCGATTCATTTTTATAGATAAAGCTATCTTATTTTGATTAAATATGAATTGTTTAAACTTTCAACGGGCAATATTGAATAACGATATGAAAGGTTATTAAAAATGATATATCTAGATCTAGTTCTACCGTCTAATTGTGCAAGTCTGATCAGAATTAGAACTAACATATTTATTCCAGGGTTCAGGAATGTCAGGTTATGTTGGAATGCAATGTTGTAACAATGTAATGTTTATGTCAATAATAATAAAGAAAGACTGATTAAATCCTGTCTAAACCCACTTAGAGCACTTCACAGTTCACACATTACAGTCCACACTTAGTAAAGCAAGTGTAACCGTAAGCGCTCCAATTTATAGTGACGTCCCACTCGCTGTAGAGCCAAGTCCAGTCTGCATCAATGCGCACCAAGATAGCGTTAAATCCATCCTGCTCCACATTAGACACAGCAACCCTGGTGACCTGTCCATCTAGCGTTACCGTGACAACAGGTACTGATAAGAACCCACACCCGCTAGTATCTATACGTTTGTAGAAGTACTGCTTGCCAGCCCCGTTATTGTACTCCTGGTAGTCAGAACTAAAGTGAGTGGAGCCCACACATGTGATGGAACAGGCGTAGTTATCTGAGCGGGGTTCTGGTGTGGATATTATCTTCAGACGGTTTTGTAGGGTAGTGCTGGTTAGTGTCAGCAGCAGGAATAGCTTTGTAACAGATAACATCTCAGATACCTTTATAACAGAAAGAGAATTTGTTAAATTGTCAACATAATTGGGAGTTGTATTATAAGATGAAATACCAGTAGTTGTTGACCGAATGGTACTTTACAGTCAAGAAATAACAATAAAAGTATTGCAAATATAAATAACGGGCAATTGTTGCAAAGAAACCAAGTTTTACTAATAAGTTGTGTGCTCGGTTGTAAAGTTCATTTACTGATAAGGTTTATCTAACCGGCGAATAATTTAATATACCCGTGAGACATGAATCTAAACAAATTCACCTATCATATTATAAGAAAGTTTGATAAACTTGGCTGGAACTTGACCCTCGTGATTCATTTCTATAGATAAAGTTCTTATTTTGTTTAAATATGAATTATTTAAACTTGCAACGGATAATATTGAATAACGCTATCACCATCTAAAAATGAAAGTTGTTGCCATGCCTCCCGATAGCGTCCAGGCGTTATCACCACTCGCCATATATTAAATATTTTGAGGTTTCTCCAATTCGCCATGGTGCAGCGAAGATAACATGGAGAAATGGAGATTAAGTAGCGACTTTTATCAGGATTTGGGATAATTCTGCGCATTTTAGCCATTCGTGGCAAAAATCCCCGGATTTATCACAAAGTTTTTCAAGATTTGATGGTGAAAATGACGCCTTTTCTCCTTTTAATTTCAAACTTGATAAAATATGAACGAGCATAAACAAAACCACAGATAACCATCACTACGAATAGGGTTACCGAATAGTTCAGTATTTGGTATTCGGTTCAACCGAATAGTAAGCGATTCGGTAATCGGTGACTCTGTAATCTGTATTGGGTATAACTGAATATTCGATTTAACCGTATATTCGACGAATCCGTAACCCTAAGAACGACCAGGTACCTGGATACCCTGCCTGGTGCTGTTGCGTATAAACAGAGCAGCTACCACAGTACGCTGGTCCCCCGCTGAGGACAGATTCGCTGTGGGGAGCGGTGCACGTCTTCTCTCTGTCTGCTACTTCGACCCTGAGAACAACTGGTTAGAATCAAATTTATAATTTGACATTTGTCGCTTTCCCGCTTTGATCGTTTCATCCCTACTCTTAAGTTTAATGTTAAAGAAGCCCTACGTTTGAACGTAGTACACCCAAAATCTCAACAATGGATGAACGGCTATCACACAGCTTTTATTGACTGTAATTGTAAATTTGTGTTAATTTAGGTGGGTTAGCAAGCACATCAAGAAGCCAATACGATCTACAATCCTCTCGGTGGACTGGCATCCCAGTAACCACCTCATAGCTGTGGGATCATGTGATTTCAAGTGCCGAGTCTTCTCAGCTGCTCTTAAAGAAATGACAGATAAACCTCAAACATCTCTGTGGATGCCCAAGTATGGACTAAACTTTAAATTTTAATACTTTGAGATGTGAAGTGAAGTAACCTGTGATGACATTAGATCATGCCATAAAAATCAAAATTTCTGGTACGAGTGTAGACAAATTAATGTCTAATGAAACGCAAAGCACCTTGCTTTAATGTAGGGAACAAGGATGTAATCTAGTTACGGTCAGCACACATTATAGTTTACATACTACATAGTTTACTGCAGACTTAACACAAGGACCCCCTAGGCTAAGCAAGTTCGGAACGCTCCTAGCTGAGTTCGACTCTAACAATGGCTGGGTTCACGGTGTCAAGTTCTCCCCGTCCGGTAACCTGCTAGCTTGGGTCGCTCACGACTCCAGTGTTAACCTCGTTAACTCTGCTAATCTGGAAAAGGTATACTCTATCTGGAACTTTCTAACTGATTGGTTAATTTGTTAATTAATCTGATTTAGGTGGGAAGAGTCTTTTAGGAGGATGTAGAACTTCTCTTTTTTTGTCTAATTTGATTTTTGTATCGATCGCATCTTGTAACGCCTCGGCGTACAATATGCTGTTTGCTACATTTCGGTGTGCTCTGTTAAATATATAAAGTACAGCACTATATTCTTATTGCAAAATAACATCTCTTATTGCAACACTGCTCGACGCTCGTATTGCAAAACTACACTAAAGTTAACTGCCAAACTCCCATAAATGGTTAATGGGTGTACTTTACTCATTCATAAATACTTATCAAAATTGAAATATTACACTACCACTCAAATCATCGTCTCAATCATAATAATTAAAATAAATCATATCTTTTCAATTATATTAATTAAAATATGAGAATCTCATCAAGTGAGCACCTGTATGTACATTTTAACCCATTTTAACAGATAAAGAATGTGCACATTACCTCATTACATAGCTCTATATGCTCCTTGTACCGTATTAAACATGACACCACTATTTATTGTGCTGCATTGTTAGGCTCTGTTTTCTGCAGTATTTCACACGTTCTATCTACCACACACTGTCGTTTGGTAAAAGTAACATTTTAAACGAAACGTTCACCCTCCGATTAGCAAGCCAATTAACAAGCCAATTATAATGTGATAATTACAGGTCCACACAGTGCTGACCTCCAACCTGCCCTACATGTGTCTGCTGTGGCTGAGTGAGGCTTGCTTTGTGGCGGCTGGACACAACATGGCTCCTGACCTTTACTACGGGTCTGATGACGGCAGTATGTAGCTTGTTTTATTCCATTTTCCTTTTTTACATTATCTTGTCTGTTTTACATTATCTTGTCTTTTCATACTTTGTCCGTTGTTTCATACTTTGTCCTTTGTTACCGTGCCCCGACTTCCCAAAAGTTTCGAAGATCCTCAAAAGTTATATACTTTATACAATACATATTTAATGTAAATCTAAAACCCGATCCCCAAAGATCAAATCGGTAGGAATTTGTTTGAGCTGCCGTTCACCGCTAACTTAAACTGATGTAAAATGAATCCTCCCATTTTCAGTTGTATTTGGCTCTAAGTTGGATGTGAAGAAAGAGAAAGCTTCCACCGGCAATATGAGTGCTATGGCTAGGTTCCAAAAACTTGACGTTCAGGGATCAACTGAAACTGGTTTGACTTTAATTCATTAAATACGATGAGCTTAGAAACAAAACTTGAAGTGGCCACATTGTATTATTAAGATTATGTTGCTTTCATTGCACTGTTGTAACTTTCACCGTTATTTATTACATTGGGTATTAGAAGACAAAAGAGACACACAATCACACAACACTGACAAATACCCCAGTAATAATTATTTCAGAAGGCACAACCCTTACCACCACCCACGCCAACTGCATCACAGAGATACGGTCCATCGGTACTGCCAACAACAAGGTCACCAAGTTCTCAACATCTGGTAAAGACGGACAAGTTGTTGTCTGGGAGGTGGATTCCATCTGTTCGGCTATCGCCGGTCTCAAGATCTGAGGAGTTCGTGAAATGGTTTTTGTGTTTTTGGCTCTAACTTAGGATAGGATATGTTTATTGAAAATTTATGAATATCTTTCTTTGTATTTCGTTTAATTGTAGAGAAGTAAAAAAACTAGAGTTTATCTTAGACGATTGATTTATAATTTATATTTATTTCAGAGATTATATCTTTGAAGTTTTCTTAATATGTAATTGAGCCATTATATTTCACTGTTTTATCTGACAATGATTGTTATATTTAGACTCATTAAGATTCTTTGTTTAATGACGGTAACAGCTGGTTACATAATGTTTATATTTCAAAACTGTATGGAGACGCCAAAACGGGACATTTTTGTCACATCACCAATGCGACTAGCAGTATTTTGTGTTTCGACATTCCCAGATAGGCACTTTGTTGGTCAAAAACGCGCGCAATACTGGCGCGGTTTTGTTCAGAAACCACGTGCGTTTCAGAAATGTCCCGTTTGCCCACCTTTTTATTTGACTTCTTCTAACAATTATGTAATCTCTAGGTATGATGAATGATATGGTTACGAGATAATTGGCGGCAAAAGCATGCCCAGCAAGAAAAAGTACAATGCGCGCTTTGCTCCCGCCAGGATTAAGAAGATAATGCAGTCTGACGAAGAAGTTGGGAAAGTTTCAGCAGCCGTGCCAGTTATCATTTCGAAAGCGCTAGAGATGTTTCTAGAATCATTCCTCGAAAACGCCGACAAGCTCACGAAAGAGCGTTGCGCCAAAACTTTAACCCCTCAGCATCTTAAACAAATCATTCAGACAGACAATAAATACGATTTCCTGAAGGATCTTGTATCAGCCATACCCGATCTGGGTCCAGAGGAGGACGAGGATGAAGTTAAAGAACCCGCCGTCAGAAAAAGGCGTAAACCATCAACAGTCCCGGAAAGTAACGGCCAAGCCGCCCAACCCGAATTACCATCTTCACATAGAGGCAGTGCATTTTCTCAAGTCGTAAGGTCTGTATCAGTGTCACAGGACGCACCTAGCTCATCTCAAACTGTATCAGGGCCTCAAATAGTGCCTCCCCAGGGTCCTAACGTGCCCGACTTGTTTCCAAACATGCCCAGTTAACGTACGCTTGTTCTGCTCTTTGTGTCTGATTCCTAAGTGCCGACTCATCCAACTAAATGTGTTAAGAAATCGTTGACTGTTAGTTCTATTATTATGTGAGGGTATAATGGGTCAATATATTCGACTATAACCTTCAAAATTTCTTGCTGGAAGTTTGTTTTGTTCAAATTTTATTTCTTTTTTTTTCGTTTTCAGTATTTATATATTGTCGATAGATAATGAATGTTTTTATTAGAACCCCTTGCAAAAGGATGCATTTTCTCTCACTAGTCTTATTTAGGAAAAATGCGATGCGATTTTATTTTAAACTCTAGCGTTAGTAGTAATTAACGTTTGATATTTTCAAGTCGTTTATTACCATTTTGCTGATAACTATTCAACTAATCTCAAATATTTTTTTAGAACATGTCCGACGTAACAGCAACCATCGAAGAGCCCGTCATTGTTGACGCCCCGGTCGTAGCAGATGTACCAGCTGAGGTTCCAGTAGCCGCTCCAGTCGAAGAGCCAGTTGTTGTTGCCACTCCAGTGGAAGAGTCAGTTGTAGTAGCCGCTCCAGTTGAAGAGCCAGTAGCCGCTCCAGTTGAAGAGGTAGTTGCCGCTCCAGTCGAAGAGGTAGTTGCCGCTCCAGTTGCCGCTCCTGTCGAAGAGGTTGTTGCCGCTCCAGTCGAAGAGGTAGTTGCCGCTCCTGTAGAAGAGCCAGTTGCCGCTCCAGTCGAAGAGCCAGCTGCAGTTGAAGAGCCAGTTGTTGTTGCCGCTCCAGTTGAAGAGCCAGTTGCAGTTGTCGAAGAGCCCAAAGCTGAGGAAACTCCAGCACCAGTCGAGACTCCAGTAGAGGTCGAGACTCCTGCTGAGCCTGAGGCTCCTGTCGTCATTGACACTCCCGCTCCTGCTGTAAGTTTGACTGGGAACCTATTGAGATTACTTCTTTCAAAATGATCTACAGCCAAACAATTTTCTTGATTTAATTCCCTAAGATGGTCAGTTCAGATAACTCAAACGGCTCTGGTGGATTCATTGTTAACAATATTATTGTTTCAGGCCATCGATGAGCCCGTTCTCGTAGAAAAAGAAGGTAAGTATTTACACAAAGTATTTACACAAACCAATTCAAATCATGGCCCACTGCCAATCCAGCATTGTGTTTCCCTATTTCACTCAACATGAGTAATTCGCCCAATTCGTTTTCCTACTTGAATCACCACATTTCACCCCACCCCAGGCTCATTGACCATGTCTGATGCTTCACTTCTCGACTACAAGATGTCGGATGGAGTGTTAGTCGAGGCTCTCTCACTCACAGGTCTCTCAAATATTCTGTTAATCATGTTTTCTTCGCCTTGTGGGTGCTACCTCAGCTCGGCTGTACTTTCACAGCATTCCGTACTATTGTCAGCACTTGAGGTCACTCAATAAATTTTGCAAGGGAATCTTGCCCGTCTTGTGAAACTGAGAGGTAGCACCCTTTCAGACGTTAAAAATCACTTAGAATGTCTTCAATCATAACTTATTTAAAATTAAATTAAAACTGTTTTATACGACTGGGCTTTAATCCTAGATCAAATTCCGCCTGTCATTCCAAAGGAAGGCCTTTTCATTGAGCCGAGTAATATACCAGGTGCGTGTTTTCAGCCCTGAGATTGAAATCTTTTAATTTGAATCCACGATATTTAACCGTGATTATATGTCCTGATTTCTAGATGTCTCTGGGTAAGCATCGTGTCACATTATTTATTTTTCCCCAATCAATTATCAACCAATTCTTTCAGAAACTAAAGAGGAGACAGTAGTCGTTGAAGCACCAGGTAATTATTTCAAACATTCAAAATACTCGCTAGCTAAAATTGCTTCTTAAATAGTTGAAGCAAAATGATGATCTATAAATTAGCTAGGTGCTATAGTAGAGCTAGAGCTTATTATTTTAAACACAATCGCTTTGCTGTAAAACCGTTCGTACCGTGTAACTGTGTTAATTTATAATCAACTCAGCCACATCAGAGCATCACTTGAGAGCACAGTATAACTGGACTAGTGGACCACTTTACCGGCTAATCTAGCATTGAATACAATTCTTATCACTCACTCGAGCCTGGACGCCCTGAATATAATCGTCCTTCATCATTTTATCCTTCACCCCTTTCATCAAACCACCAATATTTTATATTGTGTCAATATAATTGTCACGTTCCACCTGTCACATTTCACGAACTAATCTTGTTTATTTCACGATCAGTCACAGAATCAGAGAGTTCAGATAGCCCTTCACTCCCCACCTCAGACTCACCCTCACCAGCCGATGAGGCCGCACCAGTTGAAATCGCTTCTCCAGCTGCTGAAGTCCCTGAACCAGTTGTTGCTGAAGAAAAGGTTGCTGTTGAAGAACCAGTGAAAGAAGAGACTGCCCCAGCTGCAGTCCCAGAGCCTGTTGCTGCTGAGCCAGAGGCAGTCGATGCACCTGCCGCTGAGGAAGTTTCACTTGAGCAAGTTGATGTTTCTGTACCAGAGGCAGCTGAAGAACCTGCTGTTGAAGAATCAGCCCCTGTTGAAGAACCTGCTGTTGAAGAATCAGCCCCTGTTGAAGAACCTGCTGTTGAAGAATCAGCCCCTGTTGAAGAACCTGTTGTTGAAGAATCAGCCCCTGTTGAAGAACCTGCTGTTGAAGAATCAGCCCCTGTTGAAGAACCTGTTGTTGAAGAATCAGCCCCTGTCGCTGAAGAATCAGCCCCTGTTGCTGAAGAACCTGCTGTTGTTGCAGAACCAGAACCAGTCATCGAGGCTGCCATACCCGTCACTGAACCCATTCACGAAATTCCGTCTCTTCCCAAGGCTTCTCCTAAAAAGCCAATTGTTGTTCCACGTAAGTCGAGATTCATATCGACCTTATTTTCTCTTAAAACCTGAAAATTATATTAGTGTGTGCGTTCAACAACAAAATCTGCATTCCGTTTGATTTGAAGCGTCTTGAAAGAGAGATCGCATGACACTGCAGTACATGAAATAATAGTTGACCCTTAGGATTTAAGTACAGTGACCGTATCGTCCAATCAGTAACCAGCTACCACAATAAACAACCTGATTTCATCCAATCACAAAGAACTTTAAAATTAAGGCGCGGGTCAACTAGTCAGCCATGTACTGTAAACGAAACCGTTTTTTAGCTTGAACTAAATATCCCAAGTATCGACCAGCTGAGTTCTGAGATAAAACCGTTATATTATACAACTTTCTCGTATACGTGTAGCTTGCTGTATTATATGTTATGCATGTACATGTTAATTGATATTTATAGCATGCGCTGTATGTGTTACTCACGCAACTCTCATTTCACTCATCAACGAAAATGTATCAAAGATTTAAAATTGCTGCTAATTGTAATGGTCTTCCTTTTGAAAGGCTGCTGATGATGATAAGTTCATATTATGAGTGATTTGTGGAAATGTTGTTTGATTGGCTCATGATGAGCTCATTTTTACTGAGATGAAAAAGAGTTTTGAAGCCATGTTATATTTATTACTTTCTTACTTTTCGGAAGTCTTTTCCGAGTAGTTCGGGTTATTTTTCCCCTAAATTGTCAAACCAGACGCAACATTTAGGTGCGGAAAAATTTAGCAAATGATGCGATTCTGCATGCGCCCTAAAAGGTAGATTGTACGACAAATGTGTAGCAACAATCGGCATTTATGTGGCAATGGCGCGGTAATTCTCTCCAAAGGTGAAAATTGATGAGCACTGAGCAGTTGAGCTATTATCCGGTGTGTTATTCATAGTTTCAAGGTTCAGTCCCAAACAGTCGAAAATTACTATCCCAGAGTGTCCAAGTACGATCAAGGTCCCAACATTTCCAAATTATGGTTGCAACACATCTATTAAGTAATTGCTGGTGAACTAACTTTCAAAATGTCGAACGTTGATTTCACAGCCAAATTTATCTGAAAATACGCGGTAAATAGCAAATAATGGATTCCCACATCCACCGCACCGAAGTGTTGCTTCTGCTCCCAACCCTTCCTGATATCAGTATCTTATTTCAGAGGAGAGTGACAGTGATGATGAGATGCCACAGCTGGAAGGAGCTGATACTGGCCCTGCCCCAGGAGCCATGACTGATGAGCAGATGAGCAAGGCTAAACAGACCAGGTATTTTACAGATAACATAAACTTTGCGATACATTTCAACGAACAAGGCTGTTTAACCCACACATTGGATGATTATTTTGGCTATTTTGTAGCTTTCTTACAACTAGGCACCAAAGTCACTTCAGAGTCGTCTCATTTTCTCAATTTACTAATGAATAAAATTGCAGGTCAGAGAAGAAGGCAAGGAAAGCTATCTCCAAATTGGGACTGAAACTAGTGCCAGGAGTTGCCCGGGTTACCATCAAGAAATCAAAGAACATCCTGTTCGTGATCAGAAACCAGATGTGTACAAGAGTCAGGGAGCCGAAACTTATATCGTCTTTGGAGAAGCTAAAATCGAAGATCTCAGTGCTCAGGTATTAATACTCTACCTTGGTTTAATTGTATTTTATTTACTTGAAGGAGGTTAAAATTAAAATTCGCACACCAATTTGGTGCTATTACCCCCTTTTGTTGATGAATCCTCTGATCTTGACCATCTCACAGGCCCAGATGCAGGCAGCCGAGCAGTTCAAGCCTCAGCCAGAGGCCTCAATCACAGCTGAAGCTAAGGACGTGGCCACAGTGGACGAAGACAGCGATGAGGATGAAGTTGACGAATCTGGAGTCGAGGCTAAGGATATCGAACTTGTCATGGCTCAAGTGAGTGATTTCTACCCTTCAGTTTACTCTCGCTAACCTTAATAGCGCGACTTAATTTGGCTATTATTGATTATACTAGTTAATCATCCTGATTTTGTTTCCACATCATAAAACAGACCGGTACTGACTACTGGTAGAACATAGAAAGTGCAGCTATATGAACGCTGATTTTTTGTCATAAACTCTCCATTTAAACGAAAAATTTACCATGAATGACGAGAACCATTCTCCATCGACGGTATATATTTCCTAAATTGCCATTTTTATCTGATGTTAATGGAACTTCTCTTCAGGCGACTGTTTCCCGAGCGAAGGCGGTGAAAGCATTGAAAAACAATGCAAACGATATCGTCAATGCGATCATGGAACTGACCATGTAGCGACGCCACATTGTGGCACGATGGCGTCAGAGATGACGTTGTCATGGAGCTTCGTAGAGAAGTTCCAACGCGGACAGTTCCTAAATTATTTGAAATCGACTGGTATTTATTTGTACTGTTTAAGATTTTTATTTTTTAACAAACGTCAATTTAATGATTGTATTATTTCTGGTTCGAATCCTCAATGTTTCTAAAAATTAAATGCAACAGTCTACGATTTTACATACTCAGCTTTAAAAAATCCTGTGATAAGAAGTAAATTTCACGGTATTACACACTTGACACTGCACTGCGAGTCTATTATTAGCTATTATTCGCGGTCTGATTTAGCTATGAAAGCCGGCGCGGCTTTCATATACAAATACTTTTAAATTTCAAAAGCCGTGCATTTTAATTTTGCACTAATAAGTGAAATATGAAACTAATACAAAGAAAATAAAATTATAACATTGTGTTAACGGGTGATACTCGTGACTTTGCTCTAACCAGAGCCCTGATCTCGCTTGCAGTAGCGCGCAACAAGTGCGTCCGCGTCACGCAGTATGCGTATACACATGGCTATATTTGTTTCAAAGACTGTCGGCGAGTCCAACTCGGCGCGCGTCTTGGTAGGCTAATATAATAATATAAAACTATGAACTACAAAGCATTGTGCTGTGTTTATTGAAGGATGTTACTCGTCTAAATTTCTTCGAAGTAGCGCGCGCCTTGTCATACGTTGTATGACCCGCCGCGCACGAAGTGCGCGGCTCCCCCTGTAGTGAAGCGACAGTGGGGGTCACCACGTGATACAACGCGCGCCGCTTTCTTCTCGAAATGTTGGCCCGATGGCAAGTGCTAGGAAGTATCGCACGCCGGGCTAGACCATTAACAATGGTCAATATGTTTACAGTACACAGGTATATTTGGAATGAGCAGACCTAATCTTAATCTAGTGCTAAATAGTAAATGCAATATCCGTCCAAGACAGCCTAGTACGTACAAGTATGATTAATAAAGCAACAGCGATTTCTTTAAACAAATTTACCCAGGAACCCTGACCGGATGGGGCTTAACTTTGAAAGTAAAAGAGTTGGAGACTTCCAGTTTTTTGTAACATGTTCCTCTTTTAAAAGTAACGTTACCTCTCCAGGAGGAAAATTCAAGACAACGTAATTGTTGAGTTATATCAAAATCTCCAGAAAAGTCCCCTTTCGGGCCGATCAAAAGTTTGCAACTTTAACTTTGCGGATTCCTGTACTCTGGTTGGCTGAATTGTGTCACGTGGTAGCTGCCTGAACATTGGAATACGCCACGCGTGCAAATCATATTGCTTGTTGTCGCGCGCGAGGTCAAGCCGTCTGTTTAAATTAAACCAACTCTAGTACCACCACCAGCCGGTAACTTTTCATGGGTACAAAGTAACCAATTAGGGCTATTAAATGCCGAACTCAAGGATATTTCGTATTCGGATCATATGCCTGCAGGCTGTCTGTCGCTTAAGACCATGGTCGCTCTTAACTGAGCGATAAGTGACGTTAAGTGAGACCGTGAGCACCACTTCTTGCCAATTTGCTTTTGAACTACGGCCCAATCATGAAGTTAAACAGTTCAAGTTGTGTTTTAACGGCAAAATACAGCGAATTCTAGCCCTTGAAAGTTGTAGGTTTGGAAGATCAATACGGCTGCTTTAATTCTTAAAAGTCTTAAGTTAGAACGGCCAAAAACACCCTATTCGGCGTCAGCCAGCTGCACCCAGGAACCCTGACCGGATGGGGCTTAACTTTGAAAGTAAAAGAGTTGGAGACTTCCGGTTTTTTGTAACATGTTCCTCTTTTAAAAGTAACGTTACCTCTCCAGGAGGAAAATTCAAGACAACGTAATTGTTGAGTTATATCAAAATCTCCAGAAAAGTCCCCTTTCGGGCCGATCAAAAGTTTGCAACTTTAACTTTGCGGATTCCTGTACTCTGGTTGGCTGAATTGTGTCACGTGGTAGCTGCCTGAACATTGGAATACGCCACGCGTGCAAATCATTGCTTGTTGTCGCGCGCGAGGTCAAGCCGTCTGTTTAAATTAAACCAACTCTAGTACCACCACCAGCCGGTAACTTTTCATGGGTACGAAGTAACCAATTAGGGCTATTAAATGCCGAACACAAGGATATTTCGTATTCGGATCATATGCCTGCAGGCTGTCTGTCGCTTAAGACCATGGTCGCTCTTAACTGAGCGATAAGTGACGTTAAGTGAGACCGTGAGCACCACTTCTTGCCAATTTGCTTTTGAACTACGGCCCAATCATGAAGTTAAACAGTTCAAGTTGTGTTTTAACGGCAAAATACAGCGAATTCTAGCCCTTGAAAGTTGTAGGTTTGGAAGATCAATACGGCTGCTTTAATTCTTAAAAGTCTTAAGTTAGAACGGCCAAAAACACCCTATTCGGCGTCAGCCAGCTGCACCCAGGAACCCTGACCGGATGGGGCTTAACTTTGAAAGTAAAAGAGTTGGAGACTTCCGGTTTTTTGTAACATGTTCCTCTTTTAAAAGTAACGTTACCTCTCCAGGAGGAAAATTCAAGACAACGTAATTGTTGAGTTATATCAAAATCTCCAGAAAAGTCCCCTTTCGGGCCGATCAAAAGTTTGCAACTTTAACTTTGCGGATTCCTGTACTCTGGTTGGCTGAATTGTGTCACGTGGTAGCTGCCTGAACATTGGAATACGCCACGCGTGCAAATCATTGCTTGTTGTCGCGCGCGAGGTCAAGCCGTCTGTTTAAATTAAACCAACTCTAGTACCACCACCAGCCGGTAACTTTTCATGGGTACGAAGTAACCAATTAGGGCTATTAAATGCCGAACACAAGGATATTTCGTATTCGGATCATATGCCTGCAGGCTGTCTGTCGCTTAAGACCATGGTCGCTCTTAACTGAGCGATAAGTGACGTTAAGTGAGACCGTGAGCACCACTTCTTGCCAATTTGCTTTTGAACTACGGCCCAATCATGAAGTTAAACAGTTCAAGTTGTGTTTTAACGGCAAAATACAGCGAATTCTAGCCCTTGAAAGTTGTAGGTTTGGAAGATCAATACGGCTGCTTTAATTCTTAAAAGTCTTAAGTTAGAACGGCCAAAAACACCCTATTCGGCGTCAGCCAGCTGCACCCAGGAACCCTGACCGGATGGGGCTTAACTTTGAAAGTAAAAGAGTTGGAGACTTCCGGTTTTTTGTAACATGTTCCTCTTTTAAAAGTAACGTTACCTCTCCAGGAGGAAAATTCAAGACAACGTAATTGTTGAGTTATATCAAAATCTCCAGAAAAGTCCCCTTTCGGGCCGATCAAAAGTTTGCAACTTTAACTTTGCGGATTCCTGTACTCTGGTTGGCTGAATTGTGTCACGTGGTAGCTGCCTGAACATTGGAATACGCCACGCGTGCAAATCATTGCTTGTTGTCGCGCGCGAGGTCAAGCCGTCTGTTTAAATTAAACCAACTCTAGTACCACCACCAGCCGGTAACTTTTCCTGGGTACAAAGCAACCAATTAGGGCTATTAAATGCCGAACACAAGGATATTTCGTATTCGGATCATATGCCTGCAGGCTGTCTGTCGCTTAAGACCATGGTCGCTCTTAACTGAGCGATAAGTGACGTTAAGTGAGACCGTGAGCACCACTTCTTGCCAATTTGCTTTTGAACTACGGCCCAATCATGAAGTTAAACAGTTCAAGTTGTGTTTTAACGGCAAAATACAGCGAATTCTAGCCCTTGAAAGTTGTAGGTTTGGAAGATCAATACGGCTGCTTTAATTCTTAAAAGTCTTAAGTTAGAACGGCCAAAATAAACACCCTATTCGGCGTCAGCCAGCTGCACCCAGGAACCCTGACCGGATGGGGCTTAACTTTGAAAGTAAAAGAGTTGGAGACTTCCGGTTTTTTGTAACATGTTCCTCTTTTAAAAGTAACGTTACCTCTCCAGGAGGAAAATTCAAGACAACGTAATTGTTGAGTTATATCAAAATCTCCAGAAAAGTCCCCTTTCGGGCCGATCAAAAGTTTGCAACTTTAACTTTGCGGATTCCTGTACTCTGGTTGGCTGAATTGTGTCACGTGGTAGCTGCCTGAACATTGGAATACGCCACGCGTGCAAATCATATTGCTTGTTGTCGCGCGCGAGGTCCAGCCGTCTGTTTAAATTAAACCAACTCTAGTACCACCACCAGCCGGTAACTTTTCATGGGTATTCCTTAAGTTCCTCAAGTCTTGATTATACAAAAATAAGTCAAAGCAGAAATTATAAACTACAACGAAAAAACGTTTCATAAATAGTTAATTGACAATGTCAATTCATCGCAGCTTGGCGCGGTACATTAGCGCATTTTGCCGATCTAGCGAGAAGCCTTATTGAGTGCGCGGCGCAGCACAGTAACGCATCGCGCTACTTAACAGGTGATATACGTAAAATATCTGTTCCATATATTAGGACCGTTGACGAGTCCAACTCGGTGCGCGTCCTGGTAGGTTGTAAACCTACAACGCGCTACAACATAAATAGCCAAACGATGTTCTGAAGCAACTCAAAAAAGGGAGCATCTTTATGATATACTACCTTGCCACTTAAATAACGTGGGTTCATTTTAAATAAACAAAAATGTTGACATGTGATCGCTTTACTAAAATACAAATAAAATGGTTGCGGTTAAAATAACGGATAAAATAACGAAATTCGTATATAATTTTATTTACAAAAAGGGATTACAAATTGTCCAATAGGTGATTACTAAATGTGAACGACCCCTTATTATATTTGTTTATTATAGTAATTATAAAATTATTCAAACCCCTTATTATATGCATACTAGTAGTGGTTGTCAAACAGAGAATGTCAAAATGCTCTAGAACTTGCAACAAAATGAAAGAATGTAGTAGTTGTACAGCTATCAATACTAAGGTAATGGGACTACTATATATAGTATATATACTGCGGACCCTCTACCGGCCAAACCTTGTTAACAAAGCCGCAGTCAAGGTTTGGTGAACGGTAGTTAAAAGCGCTTAATGGACATAAGTCAAAGTGGTAGAGCAACATCATGTAGCTTAGTGGACATCTTTAGAAATGAGTAATAGGTAGAATGTGAGGTTACTCCTTCATAAATCGTCATTTTCTCCGATAATAAATTGACATCAAGTCTTGAAAATTATTCGAGGAGAATCTCGAATAATTTAGTTAGAGAATAGTTAGATCTCTCTCAGGTGCCAATCCAAAAAATGTCGGTGTCCCAGGATAGAACTTCCCTCTGACTTATGCTATGATTTTATTGGCAGATGCAGTGCCGATTATTACAAATGTTGCCCTAATTTCCTTACAGTCAATAGATAAAAACAAAATATAGTTTAATTAAAACTAATTACAACACTACAAATCTACTGCATTTATTGAGAATGTTACAGAGGGAATTTATTTAATGTAGAGTATATCATATACTCTTTTGATTTGCATTAAACATGAATACTTTTATGATATGTTAATATTTTAGGTGGATGTTACATGGCAAGTGTATCCGTTCGTCTCTGTTTAGCCTGCACTACACGGGCCTTGCCTAGATACTTAGCATCTCATCGATTTAGCACCAGGGGCCAGTACTGCGTAAGAAATGAGACCTATAAAAGTGGCAACAACTCAAAAGAGGCAGGTGGTGGATCAAGAAAGATAAATATCCTCGCTGCAGCTGTAGGAGTAGCCATTATATCAAGTATGTGATGAACTGCAGTGAGTTTTCATGATGATTGATAATTCAAGAACTTTGTTTTATGTTTGGTTTTCTGTACATTCCTTCATAATATTATATCTACTTTTTGAATAATTATTTAAGTAGTTTACTGACATTTGAAAATATTGTAGGTAATTCTGAAGAGGATAATGCTGGCAACTACATTGAGGGTTTACCTACATACACAGCTCAAGATGTAATGCTGCGTGATGGAAGTGATCATGAAAACAAAGATTCGATCCCGTCTAGAGTTTGGATTTCATATAAAGAAGGTGATTTATATAACCTTATTCTAATCCAGTAGTAAATAATATTACAGCAGACCTTATCTAGAAAATTTGCAAGGTAGTAATAATGGCAAATCTATGGAAGCAATATTGAAGAAATCTTGCAAACGTTGTATTTCAGGGGTTTATGATGTGACGGACTTTATAAGTCAGCATCCTGGTGGGGAGAAACTACTGATCGGTGCGGGAGGTCCTATTGAACCTTTCTGGGCTCTTTACGCTGTGCACAAGAAACCATATGTAGGTTTGATTCATTTTACCTGCTTTATTTTATAAATATCATGAATCATCTTTTACTCTCTTAGGCAAGCCAGTGGTTCGAAAAACTTAATCCTAAACTTACCTTACTTTAAATAATGATCACTATTTGCTTTGCTCACTGTATAATATATTGTAATCAGGTGTACAAATTGCTTGCGGAGTACAGAATAGGTAACCTATCCAAAGCTGACATAGTTAAAGAGGATAGTGAAGACCCGTATGCCAACGACCCAGTACGACACCCAGCCTTCAACATAAACAATGCTCGACCGTACAATGCGGAACCTCCTTTAAATATACTAGCTGATAACTTTATCACTCCCAAGTGAGTGTGGGGACAGTTAAACTCTGATTAACTCTGTTAGTTGAAATTAATTAAAGTGAACTGTTAAGTGAGACTATTTAATTAATATTTATAATTAAAACTCTGATCACTTTTCAGTGATCTGTTCTACGTGAGGAACCACCATCCAGTACCGGAAATTGAACCAGAGGATTACGAACTTCAGGTAACATTAAAGCTATTCCTGAGTTATCCATAATACAGATATATAAATTTAAATACGCAGGGGACACGCTAAATGTCATAAAATATGACTACAAGTGACTACAAGTAGTACTAGAAACATAGATAATGCGAGTAGTCATGATATAACTATAATTATTCATCTGTTAAATTCTTACATGCCTCAAGTTTCGAGTTAAAAAAGTTTGAGAATGTTTCGTTGAATTATGCTAGTTAGTCCTATTCGATCCTGACGTAACAATTGTTCTAGTGATGTTGAAATCTTGGGGATCTAGACGTTTTAAATTATGATCACTCTCTGTCAGCAGATTTTACGCTAACAGCCGTATATAATTGTAACAGCTATCAGCTATCAGGAGCACTGACATGCCCTCCTCAGATAGAAGGAGTCGGATTTGAGGAGCCAGTAAACCTGACCTTATCAGACTTACAGGAGATGGAGCAACACACAGTTACAGCTGCTATCCAGTGTGCTGGCAACAGGCGAGCTGACATGTTGCAGGTGATCTGATATTATACTTCTTTGTGGTGTGATTTTACAAAAGTAGGCTAATCAAATCTGCAGTATCTTTTACAATGCTGTGGTTGCGGTTTTATTTCTTGATAAACTGGTATTTCCTGTAACAATGGGTATTCAGTACAGTACAGATTATGAATATTAAGAATTAGAAGAGATATTGTGGTCAGTGATAAGGTTTTACTGTTTTAATCGGTTATTGTTCTCCTTTACAGACTTGGTATGTGGAACAGTAGGGCCTGTCGTGATATCATGGATCGCTTAGGTTCCACCAGGATCTGGTAGTCCTCATAATTCTGCAGCCTCTATGTGTCGTCATCTCGCACAACTCCGAAAAACCGTTGTGAGTTTGGCATGTGAAAATTTCCAGACATCGATTGGGTTAACGAGTTGTCGTACGTCACCTCAAGATCGGGTGACAGGGGGCTGAACAGGCCAGAACCCAATTGATTGGGTCTGAGGTCACGTGATTATGAGCCTGAGGTCACGTGACTATGACGTCACCAGAGCTCGTTCTCCGTTTCCCGCTCTTTGGACCAGGTCAGCTTGCATGCTTGTGAAAGTTGGTGTAAGTACAGCTGTACTGTAGTTACATCCAATTACCCCTAATAGAATGAAGATTTATTTTCTGACAGAAAGCTAGAAATTTACCAAAATATCGACTTAGTTCAAAATTTATTTTGATGAACACTCCTGACCAAAAATTGCACGAGAAATCGATTAAACTTGGTTTCAGAACTCAACAATGCTTCCTTATGCCTTAAATTCCATTTTTATCGATACAATAAACATTTTGATCCTGTGGATTAATTAGTAACAGGTAACAAATGCACAAAAAAACCATCGCACTTACATTGCATTCTTAACGGGTCGATTTCGAGTGACCAATAATCGTCGTGATGATATTTATACGTCATGCGTTCCTGATCATCATCAGCAATCAAGAGACAGGAGCGGCGATTGCTTTAAATCAACGGTTTACGTTATTTTTGTGAATTCGACCCCTGTTTTAACGGTTATCACACTTTGTCATTGAATGTATTGAGGATAGCTTTACAAATAAGAGGACCAGTAAATAAAATTGTCACAAGTGTTTCTCTCATTCACTTTCGATAAGACACAATGAAAATTCTAAATTCTTACTTAACCATAAGATTCGGAATTTTTCAACATTTGAAGAATATCGGCATTTTATAAAATGTAAGTTCAATTTTTACAAAAAATCAACGAATCGTATGGTCGACAGGTTCAAGTCTACTAGCAGGAACCCGTCTAACCCATTTTGACAGGTCACGGGACCACCACGAATTGAATTATAAAGATCTATCCAAATTCCACGAAGACTACGGACCAAGTTTAAATACTTCATTATAGTTGGATTCGGGAAGCAGTTCAATTGTGCTTTGCACGGAACAACTTATATCACGAGACCGCCATTTCTGTTGAACCGAGAGATTGCAAATCAAACTAGTTTCAATTTCAGATCACCTTTTATGTGTTCATTTGTGGTGGACTGGTCAGTATACAAACGTGGCACGTGCGGGCATATTTCTCAGTTTGAGTTACGAATTGCTTCATGCCTGAGTTAAGTAATTCTTTGTGGTCGACTTGCTTTCGATTAAAACTTCATTAAATGAAATCGCTTTACTTGCTGGACAACAAACGCAGCCACGTCGTAATTCTCCCAATAACTGCTGTGTAGAAGAGCTGTGTTCATTTGTGGTGGACTGGTCAGTATTGTCATACGTTGTATGACCCGCCGCGCACGAAGTGCGCGGCTTCCCCACTATAGTGAAGCGACCGTGGGGGTCACCACGTGATAAAAGGTCAGTATACAAACGTGGCACGTGCGGGCATATTTCTCAGTTTGAGTTACGAATTGCTTCATGCCTGAGTTAAGTAATTCTTTGTGGTCGACTTGCTTTCGATTAAAACTTCATTAAATGAAATCGCTTTAGGGACATGTGTCAAAACTTTATTACTACCAACGCGCACCAATTAGACACTACCCTTGCAGTTGCTCTATGTAGTCGAGTTTTTCTCAGTCAGATTTGGTTGACTGTTATTTCTTTTTGAGGTCTCGACAATCAGCTGATCATACGGTAGGCGTCTCTCTCTCTCTCTCTGTTTTGGTCAACGGTTTCTGGCCTCCTAGTGAAGAGGGAGGCCTTCTCGCCGTGCCCACAGAGTGTGACTCCTGCTAGCCACACTCCAGGACTCCCTAAGTATATACAAAAACATAGAAAAATAGATATCAACGCAACAGACCTCTGGAGTCTCGAAGCTGTTACTACCTTGCTCAGAGCAAACCCACTTCATATGTTCTTCTTTGGCGGGCAGGCGAGGGACTTCCGAGCATGGTCCACACCTGAATATGTGTCACTATCTGGGATAGTCCTGTGTGGGTCTAGTGTATGATTGTTTATGAACCTTGGTGTATGTCCTAGATGCTTATCCAAATAGATCGTCTCTGTCAAACCTTGTTGACTGTTCCACGAATTTGATAATGTGGTCGAGTTTACTATTGATGAGTTCCTCAATTGTTAGGATGGGTTTACCAAATATCCTCATTCTAGTTGTCATCAGCTGGATGCATTCACATAGGAAGTGTTGTGATGTTTCTGCTTCCCCTGGGCAGTGTTCACAGTCTTGTGTTTCGAAATTGGAGTTGTTTGCTACCGTCTGGAAGTATGCTAGTGGGCTGTGTCCTGATAGTAGCCATGTTAGCCATCTGATGTGAGTGCCTGTGATGTTAATTTTCTTGTACCTGTTTTTGTTGAGGAAAAATGTTAGTGGGGTTTTTCCTTTATCACTGAGTGCCACCTGTTTATACTTCTTGATATGGAGATTGAAGAGGTAATCTTTTATTTGGGTGTTGATTATAGTTCTTTACCGTATACTCCTTCATGTCCTGGAACAAAGTTCTACTCGATGCGAAAACCTAGCGAGTTGAGTTGGTCTGAGATGTTCAGAACGAACCTGGAGTTAAAATTGGTGCTGTTAAGGGCTTTAAATGCAGCCTGCGAATCTGAGAGGAATTTATGATTGATTGAGATCCTAAGTTATCATTAGTCCAGAAACTTGCCATGTATAACGCAAATAGCGGGTACGATTTCCTCAATGAACCTGAAGAAGGAATATCTGTCCTGAATTGATACCATGTAACGTCGAGCTTAAAAATGAATCAAAAGTTCGAGTAAATCGTTAAACGTTGTATGTCCTATTTGCATCCCCTAAGCATTGCATTGATGTTTATTCCTGGTCCGGTTAGCTTTGCGTCTCAGAAATAAAGAGGTCCACTATGCTTAAAGAGCTAAGCTGTCCACCAGGGTACTGTAGATCTAAGGGTTCCCCGTGTAATGGGGCAGGCTGTGATAAAGCATCTTTGCAGGATGTCCGAGATGAACTGATTCGAGTGTTGAGAACTTCCGCTGTAGAAACTGAATACTTGAATAGAACCAGTAAGGATGTCAGTCAAACTCTGCTGCTACTAGATGATTGTAGAGCGTCCAGTCACACTTCAATAAAGAGTGTGGCAAAGCTAACCCGGTCCCCTGAAAAGTGGTTACTGGAGGAAGAAGTTCCAGGAATTCTCGTTATCAGTGTGTTCTCGTAGTCAGAGTTGAAATCCCTAATTTTGTCTTATCACGAGCCTGTGTCTAGCGTGTGTCAGCCCTTACGCATTAGCTGTCTTAACTGAAAAGACCTGAAAAGTGGTTACTGGAGGGAGGAAGTGCCAAGACTACTCATTATCAGTGTGTCCTTGTAGTCAGGATGAGCGAATTGGAATCCCTAGCTCTGTGGTGGGTGACTTCGATGGGACCTGAAAGCTGAAAGAGAATTTCCTGGTGATTTAATAGCTCTTAGAGCTAGGTATCTGTGTCTAACGTATCGTCATTTGTGTGTGTACTATCTTGTAACCTGATATCTGAAAGAGAAATTTCCTGGTGCTTGGTAGCTGTTATTGTTGACTTCCTGGTTCCCATGGGAACTTTGAGTTGGCAAGTCCCAACCTTAGTACTCAACAAGAGAGCACACCACCCGTTAGTGCCAACCAGGCCACACCACGTGGAGGTTCGGAGAGGATTTCGTGACCCATACGGTAGGCGTATGCGCGCTATATCTACGCCTTTGGCAAGATCATAGGACATAGAAGTTCAAGGATATTTAACAACCATAACTTTAAACTTACTTGCTGGACAACAAACGCAGCCACGTCGTAATTCTCACAATAACTGCTGTGTAGAAGAGCTGGCAGGATGAGAGAAGGAAAAGAGCGCAGAGCTTCAGGATAGCTTTACAAATAAGAGGACCAGTAAATAAAATTGTCACAAGTGTTTCTCTCATTCACTTTCGATAAGACACAATGAAAATTCTTACTTAACCATACGATTCGGAATTTTTCAACCGTTGAAGAATATCGGGCATTTTTCAGAATTTGGCCGCCAAATTTTGTTAAAGGCCTAACTTAAAATTCTAATACAAAACTTAAGGTCATGAGGCGATTCTACGTCGATTCTGAAAATTTCATGAAAAAATATTGAAACCCTATTGAGTTCTATTGTTTTGAGCGAAGTCAGTTTTGCAAATATCGCGAACTGATATATGGGCGATTTTGTTCATTTTTTGCAACTATTTGAACACAGAATCCACAGTTAGGTAGATATTGAGCTGATAATCATAGAGAATGTGTAGTATAGGCTTACCTTCCATATAAAGTTGGTTTCATTCAAAAATATTGATATTTGACCAATTTATGGGCCAAAATCGATCAAATTTGGTGCGTATGCCCAAATATGGTCATATGGTTTTTGGCTCATAACTCAGTCATTTTTTGTCCAATCTTGATGAAAATTCATATACGAGTTCAGGGGACCACTAGCTACAAAAAGAGCACCTAAAATTTGGGTTTTGGGCATGTTAAGGGTATTTGGCTAAATTGGGCCTGATTTGGACCAAATATGGGCGTGGCTGCCCCGCGGGCACCGTTTGGCGGTTGGGGTCCGGGACCCCCTCAAAAGTTCGGTCACCGGTCCTAGTTTGTTGGTTAACTGACTGCTATCTCGAAACTAAGTTTCACAAAAAATCAGGGTGAACCCCCCCCCCCCCTTAAGGCATAAGGAAGCATTGTTGAGTTCTGAAACCAAGTTTAATCGATTTCTCGTGCAATTTTAGGTTAGGAGTGATCATCAAAATAAATTTTGAACAAAGTCGATATTTTGGTAAATTTCTAGCTTTCTGTCAGAAAATAAATCTTCATTCTATTAGGGGTAATTGGATGTAACTACAGTACAGCTGTACTTACACCCACTTTCACAAGCATGCAAGCTCACCTGGTCCAAAGAGCGGGAAACGGAGAACGAGCTCTGGTGACGTCATAGTCACGTGACCTCAGGCTCATAATCACGTGACCTCAGACCCAATCAATTGGGTTCTGGCCTGTTCAGCCCCCTGTCACCCGATCTTGAGGTGACGTACGACAACTCGTTAACCCGATCGATGTCTGGAGGGCTGCAAATTTTCACATGCCAAACTCACAACGGTTTTTCGGAGTTGTGCGAGATGAAGACACATAGAGGCCGCAGAATTATGAGGACTACCAGATCCTGGTGGAACCTAAGCGATCCATGATATCACGACAGGCCCTAGTGGAACAGGAATGTAAAAACACGAGATTAGATCAGGAATATGAGTTAAGTTAGATTGGTAAGTCTCGGATACTTTCAAAGAAAAAGTATCATAGACTTAAAACGTATTATAGACTTAATTAAGTCACTGTGACGTTCGAGCACATAGATGTGATAGGTGCTTTGTTTTACACAGCGGAGAAAGATGTGTAGCATTATCTCGCCGAATATTTGCAGTTAATATAATTATTTTCTGAAATGTTTACAAATTTTTCAGGGGCATACCCAATACCCATTTACTCCACTGCCTTTTAGACTCTTAAAACACTTTGAGAAGTTGTTTGTAATTGAAATGTATTGAAACAAGAATCTTCAAATTCAAATATATATCCTAAGATTTACACACCTAAAATCCAAAAATGTATCCTTAACAAGAAACAATTACTATTTTTAATGGTCTTGCCCACTCTTAATTAAACTAGACGAAAATAATCTCATACTCAAACTTTAAAATTCCAGAAATACCAACATTCCAATGTCTCACAGCACAAGCCAGTACCAACATTCCAATATCTCACAGCACAAGCCAGTACGAGGTATGAACTGGGGAGGAGCTGCCATATCTAACGCTACCTGGTCAGGTCCCAAACTGTGTGACCTTCTCAACCACCTCGGCTGGGATGAGGAGAAGTACCCTGCTGTCAAACACGTCTGGGCTGACGGTTCGTACATTTAATTAGCTTTTAATTAGCTTTAATTAGCTTTTAACTAGCTTTTAAAATGTTTAGTTTCAATTTGACTTCATAGTATTTACACTTTTCAGTTTTGTGATATAGATATAGATTAATTTATATTTCTGTTAAATATTAACTGCTGTTAATTAAATTTACGATCTTCATACGCCACTTTTGATGTGTAACAACAGTTTTAAAGTAAAAAAACGTCTAAGACTTTCTCAAATCATAGGATTCCATAATTATAACGACATTCACAAAAATAACAACAACCAGTTAAGTGTCCACTTAAAACCAAATTATAAAAAGTGGCATTTTCTGTTTCATTTTAAATCATGTGAAATGCCTTCTGCCGAACAAGCAGTTTCTTAACTTCCTAAGAGTTCCTCTGATATACTTCATGTCTTATTTTTCACCTGAAATAACATACATAGATTCTTCATGATTGAACTAAAATATATCTTAAATGTTATTGGATTTTTACTCGGCAGAGTGAATAAAGCCCTCTCAGTAAAAATTAAGTCCGTCCAAATTATAAATATAGAACAAAAATACCAAACTTACAAGACAAAACTCAATTTCTACCTACCTTATATTATAAGGAATCGATTAGCTGTAAATCTTTTTATCTGCCCCTCCAATTGTCTCCTCTTTGTATAGAGTATTCATCTGGAGTATCGTACAGACCCTCCACATCGTCATCCCAATCCTCTGTATCCTTGTTACCCTCTTCAGCAACACTAGAAATGAGGTTCAGAGACGCCAGAGAGTGTAGCTGCAAGTGGTTGCTGTACGTTTTCTGGAGTTGGTTCTTCTGGGGTTGCAATTGAGTGCTGTACGTTTTCTCTAGTTTTTTCTTCTGAGGTTGGAGTTGAGTGCTGTATGTCATCTCTAGTTCTTTCTTATGGGGTTGGAGTTGAGTGCTGTAAGTCATCTCTAGTTCCTTCTTCTGGGGTTGGTTGTTAGCTAATTTATATATTGGAACATCCTCATCAGGTCCATTAGACTCAATTTGTACAGAGAAGCGTTTGTTAAGCGCTGCTTTAAGTGCACCCGCATTTAAGTGAGTCTGCATTTTGGATAGGAGCTCCAAGTGAACACTCTTTCTCTTGTCACCTTGAGATAGGTTCTGTTCGGATGAAGAAGGTAGGTTGATTGGTTTGTTGTTACTTTGTCGCCTTTTTATGGGCTCCTCAGCTGTCACTAAGAACATTCTTCCTTGGAACTCTGTTATGTCATCATAGTGGCCTTGACTAAATCTCTCTTCTTCTTCTTCTTTATTTTGAGGTATGGGGATTTTATGCAGGAGAGAATAAGTCTCTTCCTCTTCTTCTTCATGGTTTCCTGACGAGCTGTTCTTTCTATCAACAGTATCATACATGGGTTCTAACTCTATCCGAGGGCGAGGGGTGACAGGGGGTTGTTTCTTCTTGTGACCACTACCAGTGCTGAAACGTCTATCCAGCCTAGCATAACTGTACTCAAACTCCTCGTCATCTTCTCTCTGGGTCTCTTCATCACCTTCTCCCTGGCTCTCCTCGTCAATCTTGCTACCTTCATCAACTGACATGTTAATCTCGTCATAGAACGGATCAAGTCCGGGTGGTTCCTCTGAAGTAGACGGTGCAGACTCGCGAGGCTGTAGTCCCAGATGGAGGATCTCTGGTTTCTTCCGGACGGGTGCTTCCTCCGGGGGGATGTCTCCAGGGTTGGAGAGCAGTCTCTTCATCCGCTGGTAAGAGGATACTATCCCCTTTTTCATCGATAAGACGAACCCGAAACTGCTTAATAGATGCCTGTTCTTTTAATAGATGCGTTAGGACGGATTGTCTTTCTATCAAGTATGTTGCCTATCACCAGAAGCGATCATCCCAATAATACCTATCACTGTGATGGTTTGAAATCGCAAATAAAACAGAACGCTACTAATATGGCAACTCCACAATAAAATGTACAAAGAAAAGAACACGTGTACCTATACTACTGAAGATCAAGGGAAGGTACAGAGAAAGTACAATCAGTCGGGATCAGGGTTTCATGTTATCTACTCAACGGATTATTTCGTAACATAACTTTGTTCTGATGCTGAGTGGCCGAGTGAATCATCAATACACCCTTCTAACTTCAAACACGTTACTTGTTGTCAAAAACAAAAGTTGTTATAGATATTATATAAAATGTGATTTGTATATAAAAAGATATTGTAAGTCTCGTGAAACTGAAAGGTGAAGCAATCTGCAATTCTAATACAACCTTTCGTATCAGCTATATGTTTCCATAAATTCACTAGCCTTCAGTTTGATATAATATATTTGCTTATTGGCTGATTTAACATTGTACGACATGGTCCAAGTTTTAAATGTTAGATTATAATTTTTAAGATCCACCTTCTACGGCACACTGTGCCGGGCACAGTTCCACTTGGCCAGAATTAAAGATGTGATTTTTTGCAAATCGTTTTTCCTGTACAACCCAAAGTAATCAAAATTGATTATAGAAGGTTTTAAGAGGATAAAACTTTCATCATCGGTTTTTTAGAATGTCACAACAAGTTACAAGCTTATTAATTTTCAAGAATTATTTTAACAAACAATAGATAACAATAATATGATGTACGATACTTGTGACACTCATTAATAATCCAAATCTCAGATAACTAAGAATTAGTCATTTAAAAAAAAATCAAAAACAAAAAAGTCAAGCAGTCTCTCTAATTAATGATTATTACAAAATTTCTTGCACGATTTGACGTAAAAAATATCGAAGAAATAAAATAATTAGCAGGCTCTAAAACTGATCAATATGTCTACTTTAATCTGTATGATTAATTAGATTAATTATTAGTATAATAGATATATTAGCATTAATATACGAAATTATCAAAAATAACGCTCAAACGTTCACTATTACTATATAAACTCGAACATATCGTTTTTAGCCGTCAAATGTGTGTTTATTTATAAAGCTAAAACTTGTTACAGGAATAAACCATTACAGGAATAAACCATTACATATCAAAATCAGTAGTATAGGTAGCAAATCACAAAGATAAATGTTAGTTTGTAAAGGCTTCTTTCTTTCCGAAATTAAATCTGATATAAACCGTCCTTATCATCCGCATCTTCTTCTAAGATCTATCACTCCGTGTCAGATGGGTTCCTGGAATTATTATCGAAATTATGGAAATTATTCTTTCTGTTCATGACTCTTATAAGCTTCATACTTATGTCCAAAGACCAACATGTTTAATTGTAGTGAAGTTGTAAACATTAACAGTCCCCTAGTAAAAACATGCTAAATTTATAACCGCGATATTATACAAGTCCTACCTCAGTCCCAAGTTCATCTTGAAGCAAATACCCCCATCCTCCCCTGCTTCAAGTTCCTTATCTACCAGTGCTGTTCCTCTTATCACCGTCAACTCATCTGGTATTTCGTACGGATCCTCCTCACTGCTTTCCTCCTCACTGCTTTCCTCCTCTGGAGTGTTGTCAGGACCTCCACTTCTGTTCAATACAGAGTAGCAGTCTTCTTCAGATGGTGTTTTATCTGAACTGGAGTTGATGTGGTTTATCATATTGTACTCCTCATCAGCAGTATCCCTGAAATGTTACAGAGTTAAAGTTGTTGTTTAGGCTTTAGAACATTGACAATCCTGAATGGATCATCCAGATCTGACATCGCCGCATTAAAGTGATAATTCTACTAAATTTATAAAACTTAATTGATCTCCCACCTCAGTTCATCTGGAACTTCGTAGATCTTATCTTCACTCCTCAGTGTCTCTGTCTCCTCAGAGTCTCCAATCACAGCGAGCTCGTCTGGCACTTGGTACGGATCTTCAACATCCTCACTAACACTTAGCTCCAGAGGTTTGGTGATACGTTTTGATAGGGTCTCCAGCTCTAGATGGGTACTATATCTTTGCAGGTTGGAGCAGGTATTCATTGTGGTGTGGTACCGTGGAGCATCTTCTCCTTGTGCAGTTAAACTGATACTTTTATTGTATGGGGGGTTTGTCAGGTTTTGAACTGATTGCTTGTTCTGGTTGAGCTCTAAAATGCAACTGTTCCGCTTTTTCGATGCCTCCCTTATGTTTCTTTTACGCAGATCTTCTTTTTCACTTGACATTTTGTTTCCGTGCAGCAGCGAATAATTATTTTCCTCGTTCTCCATGTCAATTATGGCTGCACCCTGGCTTTGCTCGATTGTACTGTACTCCCCACTAATTTCAGTACTGGATTGCCCTACGAGAAACTTCAGATTATGAGAAGGTTGCTGGATCGAAGTCTGGTTCAACTGTAGTGTACAACTATAAGTGGAAAGATCTCCCAAAGATCTTTGTGTAGCCGGTTCAGGATTCCTCAACATTCCATCATCATTTCCAGCTCCACATTGTTTCACTTTGTGTACGACAATGTTACTTTGTGCTGCATGAGAATTAATCATTCCTTTGAGCTCTGTCAGATCATCATAATGGCTGTCACTATCTTCATCATCAATCAGATTGCTTGGTTTAGTGTTCTGAAGAGTGTTCTGAAGAGTGATGACGTCTGAAAAGTTAGCATCCTCTGGGCATGGTGGTTCACTGATCCTAGTCTCAACAACACAGATTGTGTCGTACGTACCATCTGCTTCAAGATCAGTCTTTGGAGGTGCAGATGGCTCCGATCCCTTGCAACTGCTTGCTTTTTCTAGAATTGTGTCATGGTTAGCTGGTTTGTATTTATTGTACTGATTGTTTTGGTGCTTTGAAGGATTCTTTATACTAGCTATATCATCATACATATCGTCAGTTTCTGCGTCAGAATATGACTCAGCAGCTTTTTCTTTACTCTGAAAATGTACACTAATTTTCTTGTCATCTTCAGTGCAAGGAAACGTCTCTTTGACTGTGCAGCGTTTTTGTACTTTATTCTTTACGATTATAAGCACTATAACAGCAGCGACTAATGCAGATACCGATATTCCTATTACGATCTTCCATTTTTTGGGTCTTTTATCATCCTGGTGACTAGCATTAGCAATTAATGGATTTACCATATTATTTGATAAAGCCATGTCTGACGAAACTGCCCCTTTCGTATCTTTACCTGTCGTATTCTCTGCTGTTGTGCTCTTTTCTGTCGCATTTTCTGCTGTTGTGTTCTTTTCTGTCGCATTTTCTGCTGTTGTGCTCTTTTCTGTCGTATTCTCTGCTGTTGTGCTCTTTTCTGTCGTATTCTCTGCTGTAGTGCTCTTTTCTGTCGTATTCTCTGCTGTTGTGCTCTTTTCTGTCGTATTCTCTGCTGTTGTGCTCTTTTCTGTCGTATTCTCTGCTGTTGTGCTCTTTTCTGTCGTATTCTCTGCTGTTGTGCTCTTTTCTGTCGCATTTTCTGCTGTTGTGCTCTTTTCTGTCGCATTCCATGCTGTAGTGCTCTTTTCTGTCGTATTTTCTGCTGTTGCGATCCTATCTGTCGTATTATTTCCAATACATTCGAGTCGGTGATTTATCTCTTTACGGAGGTTCTGATAAATGTTCCAATCTTCATTGTACACGTCCCACGCGTTCTTCTCATTTCTTTGCAATGCAATGATCGCACGATTCCCAAAGTCATAATTAGACTTGCACTTTTCATCTGTTAGCTGAAGGAATGCCTGAACAAACTCCCTTTGTATTATCATCCAGTCTACCTGAACACCTATCATGGCTCTGATACTTCTGTCATTTGACGTTACGTCCAGTTGTTGCAGATTTATTATTTTGTTTAATTCCTTTTCAAGCTGATCCGCCATTACGTTATCTGATAAGAGTGTTTCAACTTTCTTTACGATGTTCTTCTGATCTTCAATCATCTCATTTGCTCTCAACCTCAAAGTGTTCTTTCTGTCGGTAGCAATAACGAGCTGACCACTACCACCATCTTTTGATCCACCATTATCTTTTCGTTCATAGCTCTCAGTCACTATTACTAAAACTAAAAACCACAAAAATGGACAACTCATACGAAACAAAATCAAAGCCCGGATAAAAATTAGCGCGCCTCGGCCTCAATTAACCTTGAAGGTAGAACTGCTTCCGTAAAAGAAAGACGTGTAAATGTGTAAAGGTACTTTACTACTGAACCTTTCCCTAGTATTTCATTTATAAAAGTATTGAACATGTTGTACTTATCAACTCATCGTCAAATTTCGATCCTGCGAGTTAATATGTTACTTGTTACCAACTCCTCAACGTAAGTTCGATATATTATTATTATTAAAGCATTTGGCCCAGTCAAAAACGTTTCAGTTGTATATCTTTTACGGTTTTTGCGGAAAGTCGCGTTAAAGTTGATGCCGTTGTGTCAGTAAAGGGGTACGGAACCCTCCATATTTATCGTCTCGCTTTATATATAGTAAGATAGTAAGATTATTAAATACCTTGTATAGAAAATATAAAGTGTTCAGACTGTGAGTCTGTGGTTCAGTATTTGACTACTGAGTCAGGTTCATATTATTTGTTCTTTGTTCACAGATCTGAGAAGCGCAGTGATCCGAGACACACTGCTTTTGATAACTGCACTCAAAATAGGACAAAGGTATAAGAAGACTTTTTTTTTGAGAACAAAAGATGAGAATGAAATAATTTCTTTGAAATAAAATGGCAATCACAAATTGTGATTCACAAATTGTGATTCACAATTATACAATCACCTCTAAAATAGTGGAAGACAATAGATATTCGTTGCACGAGCAGAGTTTCATTTTGAAAGTTCAGATAAAACATTCCCACACGACACATTAATAAACAATTAAAATGCTAATTCATACGTAATAATTCATATTTCCTGCCCTAACTCAAATCAATAAAAGTGATCTAACAAAAAATTCTCTACATTGTCCCTTGTTACAGAAACATATTTCAACGTTCAACTTTACGTAAGTTGTTGAGAATGCAATGGAGTGCTGTTTGCTCACTTTTTTAGTGTAATAGATACACACTCACAGATTAGATTTCACCTGAAACATGATTATAATATTTCATTATTTTGTGATTAAATCATATCCATTAGGCCGACGATTAATTACACAGATCTCACTCTGATATAAAAACCTAAGTTTAAAACATATTTCACAGCTGGGCAATTCGCGATTCCTCATTTGTATTGTCCTAACTTACCTCCAAGTTAAGTTTTAGCTCCCCCTAGCTTCTCAATTCTTCCTCTATTTGGTATTGATCTTCAGCACCCTCTCCTTCACCTAAAGCGTCACCGTTACCGTCTGTTGTATCCCAGTCTAGCCCTAACAATACTGTTGTCATCATGTTCCGAGTAGATTGTTTCGTCAGGGTCTGATTCAAGTCCAGATTGCTGCTGTATATTGAAGATCCTTCTTTGGGTGGCGTGTCACTCTTTATCAGATTAATTTCCCCTCTTTCATCCAGGTCGGTATCTTTAGTTACAATCTTTTTCTTGTCTGAATCCTCAGTAACTGCCTCCTCGCTTAAATAAAGTTTATGATCTGGACTAGATGTGCTGCACTTTTCCTCCGATGTGCTGCACTTTTCCTCAGATGTGCTGCACTTTTCCTCAAATGTGCTGCACTTTTCCTCAGATGTGCTGCACTTTTCCTCAGATGTGCTGCACTTTTCCTCAGATGTGCTGTTTTGGTGCTTTGAAGGATTCTTCATACTAGCTATGTCATCATATTCATACATATCAGACTCGGTTTCATCGTCAGAATATGACTCAGCAGCTTTTTCTTTACTTGGACAATGTACGTCTATTTTCTTGTCAGCTACGCTGATTGACATGCTTGTGATGTAATCGTTTCGGTTCTCTGACTTTTTCATGGAATCGTCAATGGTTATTGGATCGCTCTTACTGTTTTTCGGATCTTCAGTGCAAGGCAACGTCTCTTTGACAGTGAAGCGTTTCTGTGTTTTAATCTTAACGATTATAAACACTATAACAGCAGCAATTAATACAGATACCGATATTCCTATTACGATCTTCAATTTTTTGGACCTTCTTTCATCTTTAAGATCTTGACGACTAGCATTATTTATCACTTGCAGTGCATTTACGCTTCCCATCTCTGTCGGAGCCATATGTACTGTATCGTTTTCTGTTCTATCCATTCCTTGTAAATTCTCGACATGTTTGCTATCCGGATATTGTTCTTTAACACAGTTATGGTTTAAACGATGTTTTATCTCTTTGCGAAGGTTCTGATAGATTTTCCATCTTTTTTCATACACGTTCCAAGGGTTCTCATTTGGCGATGAAATGAAATCTGTATTCTCAAAGTCATTAGACTTGCACTTTTCATCTGTTAGCTCAAGGAATGCCTGAACAACCTCCCGTTGTATTATCATCCAGTCTACCTGAACACCTATCATGGCTCTGATACTTCTGTCATTTGACGTTATGTTCGGTTGGTGCAGATTCTTTATTTTGTCTAATTCCTTTTCAAGCTGATTTTCCATTACGTTATCTGATAAGAGTGTTTCAACTTTCTTTACGGTGTTCTTCTGATCTTCAATCATCTCATTTGCTCTCAACCTCAAAGTGTTCCTTTTAATATCGAGCTGACTACTAACATTATCTTTTCGTTCATAGCTCTCAGTCACTATTACTAAAGCAAAAAACCACAAAAGTGTTCTACTCATACGAAACGAAATCAAAGCTCGGATAAAAATTAGCGCTCCTCAATTTATGTTGAAGGTACAACTGCTTCCATAAAAGAAAGACGTGCAAATGTGTAAAGATTCGTTACTACTGAACCTTTACCTAGTATTTCATTTATAAAAGTATTGAACATGCTGTACTTATCGTTAAATTTCGATCTTGCGAGTTAATATGTTACTTGTTACTAAATTCTCAACGTAAGTTCGATATAATAACTTACCCATCTTAATTAGAAGCTCAGTAGATAGTGCTACATATGAGGGATCCTCTTGCGCAATATGAATTCCCCCTCAGCATGTTAGTGGCTTATTGCTACTATTAAGTAGTAATAGCACATTGTGTAGAAAATATAAAGTGTTCAGACTGTGAGTCTGTGGTTCAGTATTTAACTACTGAGTCAGGTTCATATTATTTGTTCTTTGTTCACAGAACTAAGGAGCGCAGTGATCCGAGACACACTGCTTTTGATAACTGCACTAAAGATAGGACAAAGGTATAAGAAGATTTGAGAACAAAAAATGAGAATGAAATAATTTCTTTGAAATAATAATGGCAATCATTACATAGAATCATCTCTAAAACAATTAAATGCTCTATGGATATTCGTTACACGAGCGGAGATAAATCGTTTCCATATTATAATCAACAATCTAATTTTTTCTTCATACTGCAAGTTTTTATATCTGCCCTGACGCAAATCGATAAATGTGATCCAACAAAAAATTCTTTACATTGTCCCTTGTTACAGAAACATATTTCAACGTTCAACTTTTCGTAAGTTGTTGAGAATGCAAAGGAGTGCTGTTTGCTCACTTCTTTATGGTAATAGATACACACAGAGATTACATGCTGATTTTGGCCTGAAACATAGTTTTGACATTCATTATTTGTGATTAAATCATTATATCCATTAGGTCGACGATTAATTACACAGATCTCACTCTGATATAAAAACCTAAGTTTGAAACGTAGTTCACAGCTCTGCAATTCGCAATTCCTCATTTGTATTGTCTTTACTTACCTCCAAGTGAAGTTTTAGCCTCCCCTAGCTTCTCAATTCTCCCTCGATTTGGTATTGATCTTCAGCACCCTCTCCTTCACCTAAATCGTCACGGTTACCGTCTGTTGTATCACAGTCTAGCCCAGAGTCTGTTTCTAACAATACTGTCGTCATCATGTTCCGAGTAGGTTGGTTCATCAGGGTCTGATTCAAGTCCAGATTGCAACTGTATCTTTTGCTGATCGGTCTCTCTTTAGGTGGTCTTTTTATCATAAGCGTGTTTAGTGCTCCTTTTTCTAGATCTTTCTCCGTGGATTTGCTGCTCCTGTTTAAGACAGTGTAGCTTCCCTCCGCATAGTCACCATTAGCTGCTGCTTCACTTGACTCTAGCTTTACTTTATCAATCGTGCTGTTATGGATAGAAGTCATGTTCCGAGTAGGTTGGTTCGTCAGGGTCTGATTCAAGTCCAGATTACTGCTGTATATTGAAGATCCTTCTTTGGGTGGCGTGTCACTCTTTATCAGATTAATTTCCCCTCTTCTATCCAGGTCAGTATCTTTAGGTACAATCTTTTTCTTGTCTGACTCCTCAGTAACTGCTTCCTCGCTTAAATCAAGTTTATCTTGACTAGATGTGCTGCACTTTTCCTCAGATGTGCTGTACTTTTCCTCAAATGTGCTGCACTTTCCTTCAGATGTGCTGCACTTTTCCTCAGATGTGCTACACTTTTCCTCAGATGTGCTGCACTTTTCCTCAGATGTGCTGCACTTTTCCTCAGATGTGCTGCACTTTTCCTCAGATGTGCTGCACTTTTCCTCAGATGTGCTGCACTTTTCCTCAGATGTGCTGCACTTTTCCTCAGATGTGCTGTACTTTTCCTCAGATGTGCTGCACTTTTCCTCAGATGTGCTGCACTTTTCCTCAGATGTGCTGTACTTTTCCTCAGATGTGCTGCACTTTTCCTCAGATGTGCTGCACTTTTCCTCAGATGTGCTGCACTTTTCCTCAGATGTGCTGTACTTTTCGTCAGATGTGCTGTTTTGGTGCTTTGAAGGATTCTTCAAACTAGCTATGTCATCATATTCATACATATCGGACTTGGTTTCATCGTCAGAATATGTTTCAGCAGCTTTTTCTTTACTCGGACAATGTACGTCTATTTTCTTGTCAGCTACGCTGATTGACATGCTCGTGATGTAATGGTT